GAGCCTCTTTGGACCACAATTCGATTTCGATTTCCCCACATGATGTATGCAGCAGAACCTGGCGATTACACAATTGGTAACATAACTTAATATTTGAATATCGAGGGAAGAACACCACATAACAACAATTATTGTACCCACTTACATACTAGATTTATTTGTATCCGAGCACACACAGCAGTGTCGCTGAAGGGGTCGTTGTCGTATCAGGTACTACATATATGTACCCGATGTACGTACATATATACACAAGTGTACCAGACTTGTACTACAGAAGTGTATCCTAACCCTAACCCTAAACACAGGGTACATATATGCTGAGAAGATACAGGTCTGGTAATGGTATACATATACGTACCTCGGGTACATATCTGTACTACCTGATACGACAACGACCCCTTCAGCAGCAGTGTCAGTGTCAACAACAACAGCATTGTCACTGCAATGGCTTTGATTAACCACTGGCAGCAAGAACAAGTCCGCACCTGCAGCTACAGCACACACGCATCTATTGATTATATATTATAGTCAATAGGGTGCAAATCCACTTTAGGCACCTTAGGTATCACGAAGTGATGCACAGATTTCTGTGTATCATCAACTGATGCACAAGGTTAAAGGGACAGTAGCCTCTAGGATTTTACTGCATACAACTGTACTTACTGTATAACAAAACGTCTATACCCACACGTATTTGTTACCAGATACCTAATTTAATTGTTCTAATTAATTACAGATCAACGCTACGAAATTTGAACGGCGCCATAACACCCGCGACCGTGCTGCCACCCTAAAAAAGTTGCGTATTTGACAATTTATTTTGCACCTTACAGACCGAGGGCTAATCACAAAAGTGCAATTATATTTATACCTAAATGCTATTTAACCAAACGATATTCATTTTAGGGCAAATTTATCCATATTATAACTGAAACTATATGTCGTTTATAAGATATTACAATCCTATGGCTTTTAAATGAATAAATAAGAAACACCCTCGGTCTGTAGCCCGTGGCTGGAAAGTGGTTTTGTGCAACTTATCAGATCGTGCGCTTTGAGTGGCGCCACCGTCGTTGTAATCAAACTGTAGTCGTTAGTTTTAAAACATTTAAAAAAAATATTTCTAATGGTGATAGAACCATGAAACTTTTTATGTAGCGCAATTATAACCTAAATTAGCTGAAAATAACCCTAGAACCTAGAGTAAACTCTCCCTTTAAATACTTTATGACTTAGCCTTAGCCTTAGGGTCAGGGTTTTTGCATCATTCCTTGATATACGGAAAGTCTGTGCATCAGTTGATGATACACAGAAATCTGTGCATCACTTCGTGATACATAAGGTGCCTAAACTCTAAAGTGGATTTGCGTGGACTATATTAATTATTATATATATAACAAGATTGTGGATTTGTGGATTGTAGTGGATAGATGCGTGTGTGCTGTAGCTGCAGGTGCGGACTTGTTCTTGTTGCCAGTGGCTTTAACGAGAAAACAACGACTTTATGGGTTGAACTTGTTATTAATGGTCAACGTACCTTCCCGTTTGTTGGTGGTTCTTGTATGTAAATGTTACTCATCTTATAAAGGGGTCGTTGTCGTATCAGGTACTACATATATGTACCCGATGTACGTACATATATGTATACATACACAAGTGTACCAGACTTGTACTAAAGAAGTGTATCCTAACCCTAACCCTAAACACAGGGTACATATATATATGCTGAGAAGATACAGGTCTGGTAATAGTATACATATACGTACCTCGGGTACATATCTGTAGTACCTGATACGACAACGACCCCTTCAGCAGCAGTGTCAGTGTCAACAACAACAGCATTGTCACTGCAATGGCTTTAATTAACCACTGGCAGCAGGAACAAGTCCGCACCTACAGCTACAGCACACACGCATCTATTGACTATATATAACAACGTTGTCAATAGGGTGCAAATCCACTTTAGGCACCTTAGGTATCACGAAGTGATCTCCACTGCGGACAGCGCTTCATACTTGAACATCCCCGCGGTCGCGTGCGCATATCCCGCGGAACTGCGCGTCTCATCCGCACGCAGTGCTTAGGATCAACAGCAAAGCTGTGCCACGCAATCTTGTATCATGTCTCTCTGGCTTAACACTACGTTGTCCTACGACGTGTAACAGTAGGAGAGCCTGGTTGGTTTAACCCTAACCCTAACCCTAACACAATTCTTCGTGATACCTAAGGCTAAGGAGTAAGGTTATACTTTAGTTTATGACTTAGCCGTCTTAGGGTTAGGGTTTTTGCATCATTCCTTGATATACGGAAAGTCTGTGCATCAGTTGATGATACATAGAAATCTGTGCATCACTTCGTGATACCTAAGGTGCCTAAAGTGGATTTGCGTGAACTATATTAATTATTATATATATAACAAGATTGTGGATTTGTGGATTGTAATTTGTACTACTTTGTAGTGGATAGATGCGTGTGTGCTGTAGCTGCAGGTGCGGACTTGTTCTTGTTGCCAGTGGCTTTAACGAGAAAACAACGACTTTATGGGTTGAACTTGTTATTAATGGTCACGCAGCGTACCCTTCCCGTTTGTTGGTGGGGCCGGTTTTTCTTTCGTATGTAAAATGTTAAGCTGACATCTTATAATCAAACAATACTAAATGTACATATATAATTATACTCAGCAGCACTGACAAGTTACAGTTCTTCGATCAGCTGCATGGAAGCGGCACACGCTTGGTTTCACAAATCGATAGAATTTTTCGCACCTGCCGTTTTATTATTTAATCGTGACACTTGCACACACCGTCAGCGTGCGGCTCCGCGCTGCGTAAATTTCCCAGAGTACACCGCGCTCAAGAGCGTAGAGACGCAGGCCAAATTTCGAAGCATCGGCAGCCGTCAGCTGAAGAATACAACGGGCGGGCAGCTGGTTCTGGCCCCATTTCTCTGTGCCAAATGCAGTGAGCTTCAAAGGTTCTGCTCAGTATTCCTCGTTAGCGTGAATCAGTCCGTGTGTGCGTAAAATATGGCCGGTAGACGGTATCGTAAGGGCGCTATCGGAGTACGCCGTAAGCCGAGGTTCCGGTCAAACATTTTTCGTGGCCTAGTGTCAGCTGCGAGTGGAGTCGCCAGGACAAAAGGTGTCAAGCAGAACCCGTGGCCGCTCTTCCAACCGTACGTAGGGAATGTGAAGGCGACTACCGATGCACCACATTCATCGCATCGAATAGGGTCTCCGGACGTAATTAGGTGAGGTTACGGTTTGAGTCAGTTTATGAGTGCTTCGCTATGTGCGAGTGAGGGCCTAACTGGCCAAGGTTAATAGTATATACTAACTAGGCCTACGTAGTCCACGTCGTTGAGGACCGGTTGGTTGTTGTTGTTTACTTGTGTTATTAATTATATGTACACTCGGCCAGCTCACTACAGGTAACTTTGGCCACGACCTGCCGTCACGTTACACCTTACTGGCTTTCTACTTAGCGGTGCCTACATAAAGAGAACGAAGTGCAAC